AATAAACCCAGTCCTCTTTAGTTTCTGTGCAGAACTGTGCAAAGAGCAAAATCACACTGCAAAAACTATTCCACATTTATTTAACTAATTCCACATTATTACAAATAACTTCATTTCTGGACATTTATGGTTTGATTTCTTTGTATGTATGGATCACTTGGGTTGTTACCAACATCTGGTGAAAATTTCATGTCATTAGCACCTCGAGTAATATATTTACTGAGAAAAATGGTGACGTGTTCAATACTTATTTTACCCGCTGTATGTAAACCTTATTCGCCTCTTACAAAGATGCTCCTAACAGAGCATGTTGCGTCAGCCTGTGCCTCTCTTCTAACAAACACTTAGCAACACGACCGGTCCACATGGTGACCTCAAGACATTGCCCAACTGGCTGATGGAGGATGACATCACCCAGCCCACTTACCAGCACTTGCGATAACAGAAAATGTGGTGGTAGTTTTTCCTGTGAATGCACGGTTCACATTTTAGGGACAAATTTGGGTGGGTTATGCCCGAAGCGTTGAAGAAACAAGATGAGAAATATTCTCGTTTTTGACGTTGTCTTTAGATGTCAACGCACTCAAAAGAATAAAGATACTGCTCGTTACACATGTTTGCAACAAATATGGTGCTTAACAAACAACACAAAGTGAGATTTTCAGATTTAAATCTATCTGCGGACTGCGTGTCAAAACAAGAGCTCAGCTCATTATACCAGAGAACTTCACAGTTATCTCAGTAGCAGCACCATGGTGTTAACCATGGGGGTAACACCATGTTCAGACTGAAAGAAAGATCCATGAGGTGTTAAATTTTATGTCCTTCCTTATTATAATTATGGAGATGATCTGGTTGGGTCATGGCTGATGATTCAGTGTTTCACACAAAGCTTTAATCATTGGCAACTCAGTGTTATTATTAGAGTCTTTTGCAAATGTTTTTCCCCACATAAGCTCCCATCTTTCTATATGTGTGGCATCCATATTTACTGATGTAAACACAGCGTGCACGTGATGTCATGTCATCCTCTCAGCATGCGAGTTGCTTCAGTGCCATGGACTGTTCAAACGTGAGAACAACCATGCACAATAAATAAATAAATAAATAAATAAATAAATAAATAAATAAATAAATACTGAGCAAAAGACTGGAACTGAGCATCAGGACCTGCGATGTGAACGTATAGAGTAAAAATGTTCTGGCCTTCTTGAACTGTTGAAAGTTCATGATGTGAAAATGTACACAAACATCCAAGTGAGTAATTTTTTGCTTTTGATTTCTTTCTGAGGTGGGTTTATGTGGTCATGACTGATGGTCTATAAAACCTGCATTCTGTATAGGTGACATTTATGATTATCAAATTGTTAACAAATTTCTTTAAACTAAAGTGAATGAAGCCATTCAATGTTGACAAGGCTTCCAAATTAAACTAAATTAAATTTGTCTCTCAAAGCCTGCAGCACTCATATACAGCCATCTGGTTTGGATCGGTACTCTGTTCCCAGTATGGGATGATTGTTTACAGCACAGGCAATTTCCAGTTAGCTTCTTAGCTTAGCTTCCTTCGAGCTGGCGCACTACATATGTCAGGGCCAATCGTCAGTGATTGGGCAAAATCAGATCCAAGTGCTTCCAACAAGAAATCGTTTCTAAACAGCCAAGAGTCCAGACCTTCTGTATGAAGCAAAATGTAGAACAAGTTATTATTATTATTTTTTTATCAGGGTAGTTATTTATCTCACTGTATTAAAAACACTTCTCTACAACACGTCAAACTTGAAGTTGCCGCTGGTGTCTGAGCTACACTTCAAACTGCCAGGCCACAGGTACCATCCATATTGTTTTCAATTAACGCGTTTTGAATTAAGTTTTAAATTTAGGGTTAGCGTTTACCGCAGGATGATGACATCACAACGAAAGCCACGCATCAATGGAAAAGGCTGTATTCCACTCTGAAATCCTATAAGCTTTATCATTTATGGTTTAATTTTTATGTTTAGATTCAGGATTTGTTATTTAAATACATTATTTAACATTGTGACGGCCCTGCTGCTCAGTTGATTGCAGCCAGCTGCCGCCGATTTGCCTAATTGTGCTTCCTCACCAGGTCATCCTGAGGGGGTGTGGCCTGTACCTATTTGAAGCACGCACACGGAGTGCTGAGGAGCACTGTGTGGCTGTCGAGGGCTCTGAGGTTCATCGCTTAGCGCTCTGCGGCTTGTGATCGCTCTGTGGCTGATGGTGGCTTGTGCTGTCGGTCTACTGCTGCTGCTCTCATTCGGCGTGCCTCACGCACGTCGACCTCTGTTGCTGACGACGTGGGGGATATTGGCACATTCACGTTAAAGTTGCCRAAGGCGACCACTTCACTGGGCGCTGGTGCCCAGACCTGCTGCTTCCTCCCTGATGCCGGGAGAGGAGAGACATCCTGCTGACGTGCGGATGCCGAGTCGGGGTTTTCGGAGCTAGAGAGAGGACACTGAAACGCGGACGCGGAGGTGCACGGAGGACACGACGGTGGTCGAAGAAACCAGACCACAGACTTGCTCGTAATAGGTGGAATGTAAACCTGGACCACGGACTTCAGAGGGTCCAGCTTGGTAAGAAACGTCTGGTGCATTCGGGAGCTACGGAGCACCAAACCGGACCAACGAACTCACCTAATCCTAGACAAAACGTTAATAAATACCCTTTAAGGTTTTAAACTGTTTCCACTGTGTCGTGTCTTCACATGTTATGGCTCTTGAGCCGGGTCGTAACATAAATGGGGGCTCGTCCGGGATCCTTTGAGTTAGGAAGCTTGCAGTCACACCACCTTCCATCGATCATGTGACGCCGGGCGATCACCTTTTCTTGAGCCTCGTATTCTGTGAACCTCACGAAGCCAAACCCCTTCGAGTTTTCCGTCTTGGCGTCTCGTTTCACCTGAACCATGATGACTTCTCCGAATGTGCTGAAGTAGTCTTTCAGGTCCTGTTCTGTTGTCTTCCATGGAAGACCCAATACAATCAAGTCAGATGTCTTCATGTCCCCCCTCTTCATTTTCATGGCAGAAGAAGCATCGATTTCATCCATTTTTCTTTTGTTGTCTTTTGGATAGTTCACCACATAAACAATGCTCCCCCATCCGTTTTCTGGTGCGTGAAGAATCCCYTCCACAAGGTGCACACCGCGCATGCACTGAGACACGGGACTCCTGAACCGCAGGCCGCAAGCCCCGGGGAACTGTGCAGCCACTGTTGAGAGCAGAACAGTGCCGTCGTCCTCRGCAGGAATCTCCATGGGCTCCTCGTTTTCTTCCTCTGCCACTCGAATATAACMCTCGKCCATTCTCTCCTTAAATTAGAACTTTTCCKTACTGAACTGAAACAGCGCTGCAGGTAGCGTGCTGTCTGCGCCCTCTCGTTTCTTTGTTCGCTGGGACGGGCCGCTGTATCATCAACACCGGACGACAATCACTCCAATGTGCTTCTTTCAAACGCGAACAATCACYCCCGATAACAAATTATACTAAAACAACCCCCTTAACTTTCGCAACCTAAAAAACATTAACGAAGAACGCGTCTTTGCTCGCATGGAAAATAAGAAACGTGTTTTGGTTTGATTTTTTTTCACGAGGTAAAACCATATATTATGGCTCTTGAGCCGGGTCGTAACAAACATTGAATTTGAACAACTAGTAAATATTTGGCAAATGTAAGAACAATGAGCTAAATAACAATAAAATGTTTTACACTCAAGTGAGCTATATAATGAAAAAGTGTTGTGCCATTTTTTTTATTTAATTTTACACTTGGCGCCCCATAGACACCTCCATGATTCAGTTTCAGGCCTTGTAGTCRTAAAACATGTTGGCATCAACACAGCAACCTTGACTGAGAATAAAGGATGTCCCAGGACTGAGATCAGGATGCATCTGGTTAAGAGAAGAAGTATTTATTTCCCTCTGTCTCTACAATTAATAAATATAGACAGCATAATTCTCCATTAAYGCCTCTAGGAAATATCTGTGGCTTTAGGAGGTGGTTAGTAACTGTGTTTATTTAAAAGATGCTTTAGATTTTAGCTTCCTTGCTGAATAGCTACTGTAAATCCAAATTTTTATCTGGTTCCACATTAGATGTCTCATGGATTTTTTGTGATTCAAATATATTAACATTAATTTACTAATGTAAATCATTTATTCTTTATGCAGGAATTTACAAAAAAGAGACCACCTTGTGATGTCTGCATGGGTTCTGCTATCTAACTGAGCCGAATGCAAATTTTCTAATTTTCCTAAATCGAATTCATTGCTTTCTATGACTTATTTACAAACAATATTAAACCTGAACCACTAGAGGGAGAGTGAGRGCCACCTTCTGATGTAGCTGACATGCACTGTTATAATATTTTACATTTTTTATTTCTTGGTTCCTTTCTTTTATACTTTTCATTACCCATAATGATAATAACTGCAGTCGTGTCAAACTGACTCACCAGTTTGTGTCCTGTACACCACGCTATGCTAGTGGAGCGTTTTATTGCTTTCAATCAGAGCAATCTGTGACAGAAAAATGAACTGGCAAGACTCGCAGTTATCACCTCCAATAAAAAAAAAAAAAAAAAACAAACATTTGATGACTTTCATGTTCATCAGAAACTGAGTCAAAAATACTTTATTTGACTCAGTATGAAAATAGAACTGTTGTTGATTTTTTGTTTTCTTTTTGTGCAACACTGAATTGTAAGTTGTACAATTCCCTTCCATCCATCATCCTTTACCCACTTCTTTCTATTCAGGGTCACAGGTGCCCATATCCAGCAGTCACTGCGCGAGGGGCGGGGCGCACCCTGGACAGATCGCACATCCATCACACAATCATACATTTTCTATATTTTAAATTGAATGTAAATTAAATGCTAATTAAAGGCCAAGGTTTAGCTTTTTTTTTTTTACTTTTTTGGAAGAAAGTACAAACACCCATCACTTTTTACCCATCAAGTTTTAAACTAAGCTCACCTTGTGATGAGAAGAGACAAAGTTATAGCCCCTTTGGTCAATCCTTGTAAATGATGAGTGCGATCTCATTCATTATTGCAAAATTTGTTGAGATGTATTAGGACTCAGAATATGTGTTGTTAATGACTCTCAGCTACTTTAACATCCAATGTTAGCTCAATATCTGTACATGTGACTGAGTTATATATACATATGTATGTATGTAT